TATATATATATATATATATATGTTTACACCCTGAATCAATTCATTTCCTCATTTCTCAACCGTGAACCACTTCCAAAATTCTCTCAATCTTCAACCGTGAACCGCTCCATTTCCTTTCAATCTTCAAGAGATTACGCCCAGAATCTTCAAATCTTCAACCATTTCCCCAAGAACATTCATCATATCTTCAAATCTTCATGAGTTCACATGATCCAACCGTGAACTCATTTTCTTCCAACCGTAAACCCATTTTATTCAACCGTGAACCCTTTTGCAACATCCCAAACAATTCCTATTTAATTTGTAAGCATTCTTTACCTAATTAAATAATTATTTAACGCTTTTACTTAAATTAATATTATTATTAATTTAAATACGACGCCGAATATAATTATTTTAGGATAACGTTATTCGCGCGTACGCTTACCCGGGGATCGTCTCTACAACTCGTCAATTCAAGTTAACGCACATTTGAGGTGAGTTCATTCCCCTACGTTTTCACTATTTTTCCAATGTTTTAGGGGGGGGGGGGGATACAAGTAAAACACAAAATAATTTTGGGTTAACTTTCAAAAGATTTTAAACAATTTTAAAGCATATCAAGTCGTTTCAGCTGATTCAAACTATTTTAAATTGTACTTCAAACTACTACAAATGTTTTATACTTTTATTTCCCAAAGTACATATTTATATATATGCCTTCTGCATATATGCATATAATCTTATCTAAATAAAGTTTTAACCCTTTTGTAACATGTCGAGCAAAAGGGTACCTATCTTATCGTTTTATGGTGTTATTCAAACTGTTAAATTACTAAGACTTTCATTGCATACCAGTCATACATTTAAGCTATAATAGGCATAGTTTGTGAACCAATACACTATTTTACTTAGTTCAAGAAACACATTATAATATACATACAACTACTAAAAGTAGAGTTTTGGGAAAACGTAACATTATTTTACGAAGTTCAAGGACACTACACAGAAACAAGTATATAAACTATAATAGGTATAGTTTATGGAACACTACTCTATTTCACTACTACAAGGATACACTACTAAAATAATTATTTAAGTATAATTATTTTACACTACAAAGTAATACATACAATTTCAATTACAAGAGAACACTATAACACTACACATAAACTAGTTAATACAGGGTTGTGAGGCCCTACTTCGGGTACCCACCGGGGTACAAGTTCAAGTCCTATAAATTATAACCAGGGTCTCCCGGATGGAGAGCGTGAGATTTGTGTATAGATCTATATGAGACTGACAATCCCACACTCAAACTGCTAGCTACAGTTAGGCAGGCATGCCTGGGGGTGACAAATGTCATAAAATCCCGACGCCTGAAGAACGTCGTAGGGGCCACTAGGTCATATTAGTATGGTAAGGTTTACGGGATTAATACTACTTCAAAGATTTATTTTAATATTAGATCTAATCTACACTACATCTGGTGGATTCCAGGCACTATTACATACACTACAATACACCACTCTACACTACATCTGGTGGATTCCAGGCACTATTACAGACACTACAGTACACTATTTTACACAACTTCTGGTGGATTCCAGGCACTATTACAGACACTACAGTACACTACTCTACATTACATATGATGGATTCCAAGCACTATTGCAGACACTATGGATACTACAAACACTACTACAGTACATACACTACTATTTGACACTACTGAAACTCACTATTTTCTAGCACCAAGTACACTGATATAATTTACAATCTAAGTACAAGTACAACCAGGATCATTAATTACAAGCACAATTTCTACTTTTTAGTACAAAACATACTTTTCCGAAAGAACGTTAACTAGGGGCATACATACAAACAAAGTTGCATACATACACAACAATAATACATCACTTTATAAGTTCGAAGCAGCAGAACATACATTTCATTACATCAGAAAATATAGTATTTTCTGGAAGAACAAACCAAGATTTTCAAGGAACAAAGGACATACTTTCCAAATACAAATGCTTATGAACTCACCAACTTTAATGTTGACACTTTCAAAACCATTTGTATTCTCAGGTCACTAGTAGACAAGTACACGTACAGGGTGCCAGATGACGGAGCATAGTAGTTTCAAGTCTCGTGTTGCTATTTACTTTTGGAGTCAATCATATGTGATTCAAATACAATATAAACACTATATTATCAATATAATGGTTGTTGTTACTTCGATTACTATGATTCAATTGTTGTGATACTATACATGATGTCCTCCGCCCCCGAACGTTTCCGCTGTTTCGGTTTGGGGGTGTGACAAAACGTTTATAGCCGGTTATAATTGTAAGAGCAATTATGAAGTAAGACTAATATGAATTGGATTGGTTGAATTTCACTAGATGAAAGTAGGCAAGTGGTTGTAACCAAGTTTCATAGGTACTTGTCATAGAACTAGTATTGAACTGACCCGCATCAAGATCACCTCATGGATCGTTATCATGAGTGATACTTGATTAAAAGGTACTATCTTTGTATCCTTAACACCTGATATACATAGTGAGACTTAAGTGTAGATAGTGTTGTGCTTTGATATGGTCAAATCTTGGTCCTTAAGTGGGCAGTTATAAAATCCATTTTCAGGTATGGTGTGAACTATACAAGAAGCTTATGTAGTTAAGATGAGATTTGTTACTCTTATGTGTTGAGAGTTAGACATTTAAGGTGCATTACCAAAAGTTCAACACCATATGAGATTGATTGCGATGTGTATCTCATGTTCAACATGATGTCTGTGATAAAGAGATAACTAAAAACTTACCTTATACACCAATTGTAGCATTGGGATTATGGGGAATTGGGCGTTGATATAATGGCACAAAGTCATATGTTGATGATCGTAGTGAAATGTTGCTAGACGTTCACCACTGTCTATATCAATCTAATATGAGTCTTGCACAAGTGGGAGATTGAAAGATCTACTATGGTCAAAAGTCATATTAAAGTGATATTGCTAATTTAACTTGATACAATTGATTATTTATTAGAAATTGATTTTAATAAATATTCATAAACTCTTATAATAAATTAGAAAAATATTATTTCATGGAAATATTTATTTTATAATAACAAGTAACATATTATTTCATATGGTATGAATTAATAAGTCATACACACCTTTTTAGACTAGATAAATCCTTTTGTCTTTTAACTAAAAGTTAAAGTTTATATTTTATAAACTTGTTTTATAATTTTTGAAACTAGTTCTTTCTTGTTCTTCCCATGGCCAAAACTAGTCAAAGAGATGGAGAGTATGGTCTCTTCAATTGTTTAATTAAATGAATTAAGCCTAAGAGAGACATGTTCATGACATAGGGACATGGTTGTATTAAAGTGTGAAGACCTAATGGTTAAGGACTTTACTTTATGATTATGACTAGAGGCTTGCATTTGAATCATCCACTCTTGCATGCATTGGCTAAAAATCACTTTCCCTCTCTCATTCTTACTCTGTTGCATTGTTTGAAGTGCTAGAAGTTGCTTGCATTTGCTCTCTTGGATAGAATACCTGGGTATTTTATTTCCAAGCTTAAGAGTACATCAAAAAGGACTAGCATCCTACATCAAGTTCGTAATTTGTTGGTGTCTCAAAGGTTTCACATTCTCCATCAACTTCCAAACCTCCCTTAGAGGATCCAAAGTGTACAAAATTTGTTAAACTTTTCTTCTTCTTTGGTGTTTGTTTTCTTTTCAAACTTTGCAAGAAGATCCATGGTTTGTTATAACTAGTTTATAATTTTTCAATAAATACTCAAGTCTTCCGTTGCTTAAATATTGTTTTTAAAACAAATTTTTGAATAAAAACCCAACAAAATATATGATGGTTCTTCACAATTCTTAACTCACTTATTAGTCGATTGCATTTTTGCTAGCTCCACCTCACGTAAAATTTCAGCTTTGTGGACAGTAGATGGAAATTGTTTTTCCATTGTTTGAGCAACAAAACTATTATCACCAACTAGCAAGAAGCAGGATATTTTCCTTTTTTAAAAACAACACTATTATTACCAACTAACAAGAAGCTAACTCAAAACGTCAAATTGGGAATGATAAAAAGCTGGATACGGACATGATATCCCCATCAACCAATCCAACTTACATCAACACCTCATGTTAACAATCCATATAAAATATTGTATGATAATAGAATAAAAACGGTAATCTATCCTCAACTTATTATCCTCAAAAGCACAAGAGTTCTGAAACTCTCAAAGACCATATAATTTCGTAGTTAAGACCACCTCAAAACCCTTGATGTAGTGTACAACTCCTAAACCCAAATTAGCCCCGTTGATTCTCAAAATATCCAAGATAATCTCTTATCATCCCGCATTAACTAAATAAATATCATAGATTTGGGGATCACAAAGTTTTGAGAAAAAAATTCAACTTTTATAAAATTGATGAATGACCATCCAGATTACAACATCACTATTTCAATAGGAAGCAAAAAATTAAGCCAACCCGAAAAAAGTCATGGGCCGAACACAAGCCAAATAACAAAACCTGAAAAAGATAAAAGTGTGTATAACTTCACTTAGAAAGCGTTTTTGGGACTGAAAAATAGGCTAGGCTCTATCGACATGCTCTACATTTCAAGCTTCGGTTTAACTGGTCACATACCTAAAATGGAGCCTTAGAGCATAGTTATGAAACTTAATACTCTCTCAAATATGGGTCATTTTGAAGAGCATTGCTTCACCATGGTGATCCAAACCATGCTTTAATTCTAGCAGAATGCTCGAAATGACATGATTTTCAAAGATACTAGATGACATTGTGCTACTATTTTTGTTCTTTTAGCTTTCTATCGGATACGAGTAAAAATAGACCCCTGAATTGGGTTTCGAGGGTTTCCTTTCCTAGCCCTCCTTGGTAGGATTGGTTCCTTTGTAATTCCATGGTTGTCTCGTTCTCTTAGCTACCCTCTAGCTAATTCTCTCAAAAAAGTGTTGTTCGAGAAAAAAATTGGATACATGGCTATATGGATCAAACATGGTGCATCCTCGTTTATATCTTTTACAAGACTACCAAATCTGCTCCGTTTTATTAACAAAAAAGTAGAGATAAATTAAACAATCGATCTAAAGCCACATATATAATTTCCCATGCTCAATATGCTCGTCACTCAGGACTCAAGTCAATAATGAGCTAATAATCCCATCAAACTTATTAGCTAGGGGGTTGCCCAAATGTTTCCACCTCCGTATGTGACATATGACAAACACGATAATGGCACTAGGCACAACCCTCGACTTCTAAGATCCCTCTTCATCTCTTCATTTCCATTTTTTTTTGAATCCTGAGATGTAATAATATGTAAGCACATTTCTAATTGATTTCTTTGATGTTGATTTCAAAAATTTCAAGTTAGACGGCTAGCTTGTTTCATTTGTTTCATTTGTTTCATATTATCGTTTAAAAGAACATGACTACATGATAACAAACTTTTGTTTCATGAATTGGTTTTTTCTAAAAGTTTAACAATGCCATATAGACCGAGTTTGTTAAACATATATATAGGCCTGCACTTGAGTTCGATAAATTCCAAAAAGTTACTTACCCCTCGTGTCAATGTTCTAGTGACCTTTTGTGTTGAGTTCATGTATGGCACGCTTAACGTCTGCAAACAATCAAGAGTTTATAATTATAGCATATGTATTGTTAATTTAGACCAATGAAAAATGCCGTCAGTTGGAATTTCTTTTAAACCTTTTAAGGTTTATATGTTTTTTTTTCCGTGTATGAATAAAAAATGTAGAGAAAAAATGTATGGCATCCTTAGCAATTAAGACTCTTAGTTACAGAAGACAGAAAGGCTCATGGGTGGAGAGTGAGTGTGCATCAGCATGAGCCCTACATTGTGCCATAAGATTGTGTGAAAAGCACGTATGGGCTCCATACTCAGTTTTATCTAGTGGTACACTTCTGAAATTTCAGCATCATCAGATCATAAAATTGTAAATTAATATTCTTTTTGAGTTTCATATATATATACTATTCAATAGCCGACACATCAGTTTATGTTTTATTATCATCATCTTAAATCCATTCTGTAGATTAGGGTTCTGCCCGGAGTTATAGATATATAAATTATCATATATATATACTCACAAAGAGTAGTCAAATTTTCTACCCGGAAGAAATTAATTAACTATAACATATTTGAAGTTAATTAAAAGATGACAAATTTGGTTTTTAAATAATAAATTGAAGTTGAAAATTTTGTGGGATGGAAAAACTGACTAATAATAAGAATGGTAGAGATAAAAATTGGTCGAGTCACTGATTCCAATCTACCCATCGATAGCTTGTTTATTTTAATAAAATTTTCTTGCCGTTTAAATAAGCTTGGAAGCCCTAACGAAGAACAGAAACCAAGAAGAATGTTTTGAAGAGAAGAATTAATTAAGTATAGGTACCTCAACTTGGTTCTGCAGAAACTTGATATATCCAATGGCTTCCATTAGCACTGATGCAGTATCTGTCTGCAAATATTCCCCATAAATCCTCACAATCACGTTTATCAAAACCATAGTTAATTAATTATTGATTGATAATAATATAACAATTAATTAATTCATTAATCTATGGCTTGTATGGATCAAAGAAAGCAGTTCCGAGTTAACAAAGAAAAAGAAGGAAAAGAAAGAGACAGTGGGCGGTGGTCTGCAACCCGTTTTCAGGCAAGACGTGTGCCTTTTCCCAGAAAATTGAGATGCCCATAACTCAAGTGACTGCTTCAAGATTTTTGCTTAATTCAAAATTGAAGTTTAAGTTTCTCCTTTCATTGTTTATTCTTAATTTTGGGAGCAGTTACTTTATTCAATTATTTGGAACGATGAAATCACGAAGTAGAAAAAAAAAAAGAAAAATCTTCTGTTTCTGTCAAAAAGAAGAAGAAAAAGAAAGAAATAACTAGAATATTACAGGAGGAACTAAGTCAATGTTATGAACCGAAATGTTAGGGTTTAATGTAAGTTCATATATATAACCTTCTGTAATTATTAAAACAAAAGAGCTTGAATCTGAAGTTGATTTATATGGATCGTTGAATAATAGCATACGGATGTTTTGTAACGATTTCTAGTCGCCAAAATGGTGTTTTAATTTCCCATTGAAAAAGCGCAAAGCATATTTCAGTATCAGAAAATTTTAAGAAAAAAAGTTCTTTAATTAGTGCAAGAAAGGAGAAAGCTAGCAACTTTATGAGAGGACGAAAGATAACACTATACCTTGCCGAAAGGTGCTACCATTTGCTGAAGAGCAGATATTCTATCGCCTAATTTCTCCTTTCTAACCTGATTCACCAAAACACGCACACCCATGAATACATGATACTTGAAACTATAAAAGTAAAAAAAAAAAAAAAGAAAAGACAATTTTGTGATTACTAATTGTAGAAAGCGCATGTAAATTAAATCACCTTCAAGGGTGCGCAAGAAGGGCGCAACTCCAGTTTTGATTTCTTGGGTGGAGTTGCTTTAATGACCTTTGCATCCATATAATTGCTGGCTGACCTTTTCGCTTCTGTAGTTTCGACGATGAAGGGTGGTAATACCTACAATAAATTTTAAACCATGTGTATAAATTTTAGGTTAAACTCTCGATTATTTAATTAAAGCGAAGAATGGAAAGTTTCTGTATCAAAGTAAAGATGGATGCATCATCTTCTTCAGCAGGCATTCAATGTGTGCTAAATTTTAGGTTGAATACTGTGCTAAAATTTAGGTTGAATAGTACTTATTTTCTGGACTGACTTTATCACGTAATATTAAATATATAAAATACTAGCTAGGGAAACTATAAATTGACGACAAAAAAAAAGAACATAAGACAAAAAAAAAAAAAAAAAAAAACTCACCTTGCTATGACAAACGGCTTGGCTGTGATTTGGCTGATGCATTTGGTCAAGACCATAAGAGAAACAATTGTCTTTTAAAAGGCCTCCAAGATTATGAATATTTAGGGAAGAAGGTTGATAGCTAAAACTCCCATCAAATGTTGGAGAGCGAAAAGGATCTAAAGCTGGCAAGTTGATATCAAAAGAGCTTGAGGAAATTGCCAATGGTGGTGTTGATGATTGATTCAAACTCGAAATATTTATAGTTGGAAGAATCTGGCTAAAGGTCCCTCTATAACAACTATTAGTATCATCAGAATATGACACCGATTCCTCCAAAAAGGGTATTTGATTCATATGCTGATGATCACTTTTTATTTGGCACCCATTTGAAAAAGTTTTGAGAAATATCTCTTGATTGTTATCATTGTCGTATCCAATCCGTTGATGATCATTCTTTGACATGTAGGTTGGGGATGGGTGTAAGTGTAAATCTTCGATGCTGGATGTTGGGCTGCTGCTTATGATCATTTCTGAGAGTCCTGGATAAGATCTCGAGAGTGAGAGTTCGTCCTTGATTCTTGCAAGATATTGCAGTTCATGAGCCATGAAACTTTCCATCGTACTCAAGGGTAATCCTAAGTCTTGCACAGTGGGAGGAGGAACGAGATCTATGCTATGATTTATGTGTTGCTTCATATCTCTTGAGTTTGTACTGTTTCTAGTACCATTACTGCACAAATTTGTACAATGAGATCTAGTGATTTAGCATAGATAAGAAGCTAAAATGTGCTCCAAATAGTTTTTTTTAAGCATGTAAGAGAATTAAAACCCTAGATATAAATTATTGGTTATTTAAAGTTAAAAACCCTATGAATATAAAGATGATATTTAAGTGTGTATGAGAGAGAGAGGAACTTACAGGATGGGGTTTTGATACCAAGCAAGTCCATAACAAGAAGAGTCCACAAGAGGCTGGTGGTGTTCTTGTTGTTGCTGGTGATGAAAATTTGCAGATTCCATAATTATATGAATGATAGACTGTGTGATACACTGCAGCTGATGCTGTTCTATACGCCTTTTTACTCAACTTTCTAAAACTAAACTGGAAAAAAAAGAAGGGAGATCTTCTTTCTTTCTTTGTTTTTTTAAATGAGAGGGATCAAAAAAGCAAAAAATTACCAAAAAATCTATCCCTAACTTCAACGAAACAGGGTTTCAGGTGACACCCACATACCATACATCAATACATGTAAAGATTAAGACATACATGGACATGGATATACCTCTCTCCTACTTTTAGCCATACTTTTTCAAGGTTTCTGCTGCACTCTTTACTCTTTCAAGCTCTCTTCTAAAGCAACCCTTGAAAAAAGCAAGCAAGCGAGAGGAATACACACATATATATGTATATATATATATATAATCTCAGAAAGAACACAAAAAGATTCACTTTTATCTTGGTATTATTTTCTCTTTTCAGTGAAACTTTTTACACATTTTCACTGATATATATTATATTATACGTAAACAAACTGAATAAATTATGTCATCTCTCTTATGCCTCTTTCTTAATTGCCCTCTCTCAATTTATACTTGGGGTGGGTTGAGGAGATAGATAAGCTGCAATTACAGGCACATAATTATATATGGTTGTTTCAAAAACATCATGATTACAAATCTCAGCGTTTGTCTTCGATCCCAAGGCTTTCAACAAAAGTCTGAACACATAGATAAACAATCATGATACCATGCCCATGCTCGACCTCTCTCTTTCTCTGAAGATACCCACATGCGTATAGGACTTTATATGTATGTATATACACGGACAGTAGTGCTCACCAATTGAGGGGAGGGGGTATTGGAATGTAGGGTATATATATATATATATATACTCTGTTAAAACATGAGATCTGGTGACAAAAAGAAGAATAGCTAGTTTCATCGTCGGTCCTCACTCCTCAGTACTCTTCGTTTGTGGTCCTCCATCTGGTACTGCAATCACTTTCATTGTGTTTTGTACTTCAGAGTAAATCCAATAGCAAGATTACTATTCAATTTCCTTTATGAGCAAAAGAGGAAAAGAAAGCAAAAGATTTACAACACATCCGTTATACAAACATGTAAATTTTACCCTAAATCCGTTGTAGATCTTTGAAGAATCTCATCTGGGGTTATGATTAAAATCTCTCTTTTAATATGCTAGATGTCACTATATTACTCTTTCTACACCACAAAGTCATGCCTAACGACTCATTAATCACATAGTTTTCCAATGTTCTACCATTAATCATAGGATCAACTAGTTTACTTAAAGATGACGAATATCACAACCATGTCCTAACCATTGTCTAAGGGATTCTGACATTTTTATGATAACCTAAAATTGATGGGTTCAAATTCTCCTATTTGAACTAAAGAAACGTTGTCGATGATTTGTTTTATGGGGTACCTCACACATACTTCTATACATGGCAACGTACATGTTGGTTATATATGCCACGGGCACAAATGCACGCATAGAGTTTTATATGGCGACCATTCCAGAAAGTGTCATTAAAGGTTTTGAGTAAATTACGTGAATTGCCCCTTGTACATGTGCCAAAAGACATGTCCAGTCTCTATTTTCAAAAATTAATTCGGACCGTTCTTCGTTTGTATAAAACTTGCACGTTTCATCCATTGTTAGTTTAAATTTGCACGTTGTATCTTTTTCCAACATAAAATGACTACATTGCCATTACTATTTTATTTTTAATTTAATTGCAATTTATTTTGTATTAGAAAAAAATAGAGCAATGTCTTAAGAATCGAAGATGTGGCCATTAGTTTCTTGGTCATTGGTGCACATCAGACATAGAGTTGACGAAATATCTAGCCCTCTCCTATCTGGATTGTGCCTAGTAGGAATGCCTTCATGCATAATATGCCAGTTTAAATTATTTACTTTCATCGGAGGAAGAGAGAGAGTTCCACTAAAGGGCATTGCTACCTGTTAATTTTCTTGTCCCCCAAGGCTATGTTTTTTACTTTGGTCATCTATATCTAAGTTTTAGAGTTGTATTAAGAGTAATATATATTCTCCTATATAAAGGGATTTTAGATGTTATATTTTAGAATCATCTTTTTTCTTGTTTTATAAAAATGTTTAAGCCTGTTGTAACTCGTTCGATACAAAAGGTTAATACAAAAATGTTGTACCGAACTATTTGAGTGTCCCACTTAAACTTGCTATACGGCTCACATGGGAGGTCAATTGTGGATAACTAGCAATATTTTGTGGCTTGCTGGGGTGTAATTATCCATTTGGGTTTGAACCCTGGACCTCTTGTGTGGAATTCCTCACCTCAATTGTAACAACCGTCTTCTTGATACCCGATATGCACTTCATTTAAATCTTTTAATTGAGAATTTGTCGAATTCACGACCTGACCCTGAGGCTGGTCACAGCGCGATGATTTAAATGAAAGTCGCGGTGTCATATGTGTTGGATTAATGTGTCTAAGCTCATAACTAAATTGGTATAAACTTAAAAATACAAGAAAAGTCCTTTTAGGTTGCGCTCATAACTAGAAATAACTAAAAATGATATTAGGAGAGAGAGAGAGAGAGAGAGAGAGAGAGAAATATTGTCACAACTAGCATTTTAGCTAGGAAATTCTATTCTCATGTAAACATTCATCTAGTGTAATGACTTGTACTCTAAATGAATATCATACTCTATGCTCATTCAAATACATCTCATATGTTCAAATAAGGGTTGGAAGCCCTAGGAATCCCGGTTCAAGTTCATTATGGACTAGGATTCTCTTATTGGGCCTAAGGGACCAATAAATCATCAATTCGACTATATTGGGCCCAAGAAATCCTAATTGGGTTCTAATTGGACCCAATTCATCAATCTATAACATTTTGGGCCATTTGGGCCTAGAATGATTCATTCTACCTCCAATGGGCCATGATGGGTCATAAATGATTTAATTAACCCTAATGGGCCATAAACCCATTCCTTTTTACCATATTGGGCCGTGAACCTTCATAAAGGCCCAATGGGCCGAAAAATATGGATAGACTTCTTAAAATTCGAACAAGGCCAAGGTTGGGCCCAAATCATTTCATTCTTATTCCTTTGGCCCAAATCTCGGCCCAATAGAGATATTTATGCATATATGTGTAAAAAAAGGGAAAAGGGGAGATTTTGTGATTGTGACACCTCATGTTTGCATGGTGGTTTTCCATGCAAACATCACCTCAACATCTCTCTCTCTCTCTTCTCTTATTGCTCTCGGCCGAGACTCCCACCACCCCACCTCCATTTCTCATTTCAAACTACTTCAAACTCTCTCTAAGAACTCCTCCCTCTCCTCCATATTTTCGCAAGTTTGTGGGTGTCTTCAAGAGGGTTTTTCATCAAGATCATCATCCTAGGTAAGATCTTACAAACCTAAGTTGAATTACCACATCTTTACACTTAAATCACTCCTCTTACACCCATATTTTTGTGGATCATGTTTCTTAGAACCATCCAAGTTCGAAAACCTCTTCAAGAGGCTTGCTAAAGTCGAGATCTTCTTCAATCTCTTCATCAAACCGAATCCAATCCCCAAAGTGAGTTCATACCCCCTTGATTTTAGTTTTACATTGTTTTGGGGGAGAATACAAGTTGCTATGTGTTAGATCTATGTATTTGTGTAAAGAAATTCATAGATCTAGACAATATTTCGAAACTACAACACTTTATACAACTTACTATAAGGATAAATATGCTAAATATGTGAAGATCCATAAGAAACTAAACAACTCTAGAAAGAGGACTATTTATAACTAATAAACAAAAGATTGAGACTTCTATGCCATATACGGTTTTTACAAGGGCTAAAATGGTCTCATTTACATAAAAAATGGGTTTTTATAATATTCATAGTTTCCAAGGGGCTAAAAGTGAAAATTTTGGCATAATGGGCCATAAAATGGGCCTTACGGTTTTCTTGGGCTTAAAGTGTAAAACTTTTGGTTTTTGTGGACTAAAATGTCATTCTATACAAATTTGAGTAAAAAATGTGAATTTACGGATATAGGGGCTGAAACTGTCACTTTCCTCGAATTTGGGCCAAAAATGTTATTTTTATAAAATTTGGGCTGAAATTGTCATTTTTATCAAAAATGGGCTGAAAATGTAAATTCTCATAATAAAAGGGCCGAAAACATCATTTTTATAAAACCTAAGTCGAAAAGTGTCATTTTATTTAAAAATGGGCTGAAAATATAAATCTTTACAATAATGAGCCAAAAGAATAATATTTTATATATTTTGGGCCAAAAGTGTCAAGTTCTATAAAATGGGCCAACAATATTCACGTTTGTATATTTGGACCATAAACGTTAATTTTGTTAATATTGGGCCTAACATGTTCATTACATGTCTATTTGGGCCTTTGTGGCCCAATTACATGTTTGTTGGGCCTAATATGTCTATTACATGTAAAATTGGGCCTTTATGACCCATTAACATGCTTATTGGGCCCAGTCTATACATCACATGCTTAGTGGACCATAGCTGCTCCCTTACATGTCTGGTGGGCCTTATACATTTTTATATACTTATTTTCTGGGCTTTGCAAATCTTAACTATATATACGAAAACATTATACATGGCGTAAATCAATACTCGAGTGAAAACAATAAACGATCTAGTGAGACTTGTCGGTTGACACCTCTAGAGTGTATGATCGTAGCCTGTATTTATAACCAGAGTCTCCTGGAGGGAGAGCGAAAGTTTGTGTATAGATCTATACGGGGTGACTCCCCACACCTGAGCTGTTCGCTACAGCTAGACTAGGCCAGTCTAGGGTGACAAACCTTACCGTCAATCAAACCGACGTCTAAGAACGCCACGACAGACGAACTCGTCAAAAATCAAGTATGGTTAAAACGGCTCACTTAGAAATCCTCTCCAACATAATTTTATAGAATACCTATAAAATCTTGTGGATACAAAAACATACATATACTGTCATTCGGTCTTGGGGTTGAGACCACAACACTTTATAAACAGAAAATATCGGATTTTCTGGGGTAATAACCGTTAAACAATATCTTTTACGTACTACAAAAAAATACAGGGTTTTATCTGGATTACATTTTATACATTCCAAATACAGGAAACACACATGCATTAATACTTGATTTTGATACATCACGTTCAAACCATTTTCAGAAAATATCGGATTTTCTGGTGTTTACAAACAATTCGAAACTTTCATTCAAATATGCTTATGAACTCACCAACATTATATATGTTGACGTT